ATTTTAATAGTTAGAAAATGAACATTGTGGCTAGTTATTTTACATACAAATTATACATACAATTTTTCTATACATGTTACCAATTTAACTTGAATATCTGGGTATCACACTCACCTCTGATCGTCTTAATCATAACGAGTTCTCAAGGAAAGGAGTCGTGCCACCCTGGAAGAAAAATGTGAGAATCTGGCCAATAAAATTCTAGACTTTCAGAGGCTTTGTTGCTATGGAAAAAGTCACTGTGCTCTCAGATGCTTAATTCATAATGTGCTGAATGTCACTTGATTGTGTGTCATTGTCCACTGAGCTGGGGCTTCTCCCTCCATGGCTTCCTGCAGAGAGGAGAAGATTGCACTTTGCTTCCTCAATTAGACCATCATTTTTATGTATTGCTGGTGATTTGCTTTTCTTTCTTTCTCTTTTTACTGCACCTTCCTGTCAAATAGTTATGATTCTTAGAGTCTGTGATGAAGTTGGAGTTCTCTAAGGAATTCATTAAGGTGTAATTTCTTGGACAGATTTAATGATGCCATTGTTATTTTTATATAGTCTATATTATTCTAGACGCTAGTGAACCTCCCTAGAATAAAAAGCTTATCACTCTGACATGATGCAGTTGAGTGGCAAAATAAGTTCTGACTGGTCATACGGTTTTGGGGTTTTAAGTTGTCCTAGTACTTTATGAGGAGCATTTAAATGGTAAGGATTACAGATACTGCTTTTCAAATGGAATTCGGGATTCATGGAATAATAATAATAATAATAAAATATATGAAAAGCCTATCTTTAGAGGTTTCCTATTGATGTAGACTTATGGAGCAAAAATAAATAAATAAATAACTTCCATTTTTGCAGCCTCATCAAGCTTTCATGCTTGTGGTGAAGTAAGAGAAGAGCTTTCTTTTCAGGAAAAGAAAATGATACACAAATTAATCAATGAAATTTAATTGACACTTCCAATTTTCAGCATATACATTTATGAATTTGGATAATAAATAGTTCTTGAGCACCTGCAACTTGCCAAGCATTGTACTGGCTATGAAGCACTTGATAAATCACAGTGCCTATTATCAAGTTAATGCTAAGGTGGTGGAGAAAAAGAAACAAGAACACCAATGAATACTACATCCTGTGTGTGATATTAATTATTTCAAAGACAGGGACCTTCTTCCCAGATAAGGAATTCTCCACAGAGAGAAGATAATAAATTACAAAATTTCTGTTCTTTAAAAAAGATATCACTAAGGAAATGAACAGGTAGGACAAAGACTGGAAACCATTGATATATGCCAAAGAACTGCTACTCAGGATACATAAAGATCTCCTTAAATGAAGTAATAAAGAGACAAACAACTCAATGCTTTAAATGGGTAAATCTTGGATGGGATATTTCACAAAAGAGAACTTACAAGTGTTAATAATCACATTGAAAAGGTGTGCAAAAGCATTAGATAAGAAGAAAATGAAATTTACTAGCACAATGAAACACCTCTTAAAATACACAAGAATGACTAAAATAAGGCTTATTTACACCACCGTATTTGCCAAGAAAACGCAGGCTTGAAAAACCATTAGGTAATTTCTTATTAACCATAGTAACTCACTCCCTAGGTATTTATGCCTGTGTGTGTGTGTGTATGTGTCCACAGAAAAAAAGATTATATAAGAATGTTCATTTCAGTTTTACACATAATAACTTCAAGCTGGGAACAACTCAGATGTCCACCAAGAAGTCATAGAATATTTAAGTGGTGGATTATGGATTATGAGCTGGCAGTCTCAGCTGCAACAGGCCCAGACACACTATCTTCTTCTGGGGGAAATGTCTTTAAGGACCACTGATGCTGTCTTTCTAGTCTGCAGGGAGAGCACACTGGGGCATGGAGAGAGGCGAGGCAGGAGACAAGGCAGTAGAAGAGCAAGAAGTGCTTCAGGTGCTGTAAATAGAATTAAAATTGGTCCTTTAGGCAGTGAAAAAAAAATTGACTTTGGTAGACATGGTATGACTGTCTGTTTCAGAGAGATCCCTGGAACAAGTGGGGAGTCAGACAGAGGTGGAACTTGGATTTGTCACAATGTATTCATTCCATCGCAAAGGGTTCTTGATGTATACTAACAGCTAAATGCCATCTAGGTGAGAAGGGATCTGACCCCAAACTAGGCATGGGGAGAAGGCGGAGCAGTTTAGAGAGACTAGGATACAATCAGTAGACCTGCCAGAAGGAACAGGAGGCATGACAGTGTACACAGTTCAGGGCTGTACTGTGGGCATGTGGGTGGGTGGAATGCCCACTTAGGATATAAAGAAAGGGCAAGTGTGTTTACAGAGGTGTGTGTGTGTGATGTGCCCATGAGAAATCCAGGTGGGGATGTCTAGTCGGCTGCTGAAAAAAGGTCCTCAGGCTCAGGAGAAAACTGGGGTCCATAGAAACTGATAGGGTGATATTAGTGACTATTCAGCCACTAATAAGCAGTGAATGCAGAAGCAACATTGTCACTGAAAGGTTAAGGATGCTGAGAGTCCCTATTGAATCGGAGACATAGGTGCAAATTCAAAAGATAATGTCACACATTCCAATGGAAGGAAAGAAAATTGCAAGAGAGGGAGTTCTCAGTAGCAAATACCTTGGGGGAGTCAAGAGGTATTTATTTAATTGGAAATGAGAAGTTTACTAATGACTTCAGAAAAGAGCAGTTTAGTAGAGTGGTAGAGATGGAACTAATTGTTATGAGTAGAAAAGTTACTGACAAAGAAGAGAGCAGTAGTATAATCCTTTTCTTTAAGCAACCTTAATTTCTATGTATTTTTTTAAAGATTTATTTACTTATGCATACACAACTGGCGTAACAGTCCAGAGGTGTAGGGGCAGTGGGAGATTCACCAGAGACAGAGTGGGGAACAGAACAGGCAGATCGATGAAGTACACTGCTGAGGGGAGCAGTGGGC